TCAAATTTATTCGAAGTGTTTGTTCAAGCCATGGGCGAAGTTCATGAAATTCTTTAGAACTAAAATTTGAATAGCGGTTTCCCGTTGAAAAGGCAGTTCCACGTTCATCAAATTTAAAAACAGTGTCTTTATAACCGTATCCGTTCCATTTTCTGTCCCTATTTGTACAGACTGTTAGACATTGACTTGGCGATAAAGTCCGCCATTCTTTGGGATTATTATCCTCTTCATTATTAAGATGATTAAGTAAAATATTCAAGCGTCTAGAAGCTGCCAAAGATTCATTCCCAGACATTATGCGATTGTTTTTATTTTTTATTAAAAAAAAAAATCGTCATTAAAATACAAGAAAATTTTTAATTCTAAATAAGGTTAAATTGGACTTTGACAGCTTCATATTTGATTTGAGTACGTACATGCAATGGACAAGTTTACGTGAAAAAATTAGATATTGTACCGAAGAAGAAATTATATTTACGATATATACTGAACATTTATTTCGACATCACGTTTTTAAAGAAAATTTAGTTGAATGGGATAAAAAGATGGTTTCTAACGATAGCGTTAACAAAAAGCATGATTAAAAATTGGTTGTCGATCCTTGAATTTTCATTGGCTGCTTAGTATAAACGTCTTGTACAGAAATACATTGGGGAGAACAAAATTTCTTTAAAATTTTATTAGCTATTAATTATGTAAATTTATTACTTTCAGATAGCATATGAGAAAACCTGGAAACCGATCATAGTAAATCACTAAATCGGTTTCCAGGTTTTTACTCTCACGCACTCATATCATAAATTTACAAAGAAATTTTGTTCTCCAACGTTACTTGCTTCTGGAAAATTTAATCTGATATGTATATCCTTACGATCTACAGAAAAAGTGCACTCGCCCAAAATTTGTTATTACTCACGTCAATTACAAAAAAAGTTACAACTTTGTGTCTTAGCTGATTACCTCAAATCGCCCGTACCACTACCCGAACTTTGAGGCTGCCCCGGAGGATTCGTGAAAGTTTTTCAATCAATTAGCTGATAGATCATTTTATTCAATAATTCAATCTTCACTAATTCGTTCGATTTCTGTGTTACACGAAAATGATCTACCAGATTTCATATGAAAATGATCTAACCGGCAGTCGTTTGCAGAGATTTTTCGTGTTTTCCATATGGAAAAAGAAACTAGTTACAATGTTAATTTCGCACAAGCATTAGTGGTTTGTATCTATTATAGATTTCAAAATTTATTTAATATATAAAATTTTTTAATTCATTCTTGTGTTTTGTAAAAGGCTGGTGGAATAGCGGGAACATCTGTGGATGTGATTTTATATCCATTAGATACAATAAAAACCAGATTGCAATCGAAGTCGGGATTTTATTCATCGGGTGGATTTCGTGGAATTTATTCGGGATTAACGAGCGTCATTATTGGAAGTGCCCCTGGAGGTTTAAACATCTATTTGCTGTTTAATATTTAAACAGATTCGTGGGTTAAATTTGACTTT